ATAAATAATTAATTTTGTTTTTTAATAAGGATTTCCTTTTAAATTTTTTATTAATAATCCGGTCAAATATGTTCGCCATTAATAAGATATCGTTTTCAATGGATTTATATTTTTCGTATACACGCAATTCGTACCTTATAACTTTTCTTTTTCTTTTTTTTGTCTATCTCTCTCTTCCTCTCTCTCTCTCTCTCTCTCTCTCTCTCAGTACTAAATTTTACCGTATTTATTATATTTTATTTAAAAAAAAATTTTTTTTAATCATAATTTCATTTTCATCATCTTTTGTTTCACAAAAAAAAAGTTTTGTTTTCCTCTCTAAATCAATTAAAAAATTTTTCTTTTTTTGTGAAAATAATATTTAAACATTGTTTGTTTGTTTTTTGTTTGTTAGTGACGTATTTAAATCGATCATTTAAATTTTAACGAGTTTAAAAGAAAAAAAAAATCAATAATAAACAAAAATTCTTCTTTCACGTATATAATAATAATATTAAAAAAAAAAAATTTTTGTCGTTTGTTTGTTGTCAGTCAAAAATAACAAACAAACAAACGAAACAAACTTTTTTTTTTTTAAAATTTATTGTGTTATTTAATTAAAAACGAAAAAAAAAAAGTTACAAATAAGGTTATGTATATTTATTACATTTAAAAAAAAAATAAATTTTATTTATTAAAACGATGTTGTTGTCGAGTCACAAAAAAAAAAAAAATAGATTCTGGTTTTTTTAATAATTTTTTATTTTATTATTTGTAATGAAGGTGGGGAGGGGGCAGAGGGTGCGGAAGAGGGTAGGGAAGAAGAGGGGAAGAGAGAGAGAGGGGGAAACAATTTATATTATTTTCTCGCTATATTATTAAGAAAAAAAAAACACATACGAACAAATTTTTATTTATTTATTTATTTATTTAAATAAGTGTAAAAGAAAAAACTGGGTTTATTTATTAAACATTTAACACTTATTAATAATATATAAATTATTTATTTATTTATGTATATGTATGTAAACATATAAAAATGAAATTTTTTTAAAAACATTTTCTTTTTTAAAAAAAGTCTCCATTTTTTTTTTTTTGTTATATAAAAGTAAAAAAAAAAACAAAATTTTATATAAAAAAAAAAATTTCATTGAGTTATTATATAGAAGATATACTGATAATATTATATAATATATATAAAAAAAAAAGTCTGTTAAGGAAGAATAAAAAAAAAAAAAAAAAAAAAAAAGAAACCTGAGATTACATCCAGTTTTTTCTCTCTCTCTTTCTTTCTCTTTCTCTCTCTAATTTAAACCATTTTCCCGGAGCAAAAAGGAAAAGTGCTAAAATCCGATGAAACACGAAGTTTTTTATTCGGGAAATTTCGGGTTTTCTGAGGATTGCGGACTGCAACGGGACTATCGGGCGTGATCAGTCTCGGTTTTATTATCGGAATACCTAAAATTCTCTCTCTTGCTTTTTTTTCATTATTATTATTATTATTATTATTATTATTATTATTATTTTCCCTTCTTCTTCGATTTTTTTTTTTTAATTTTTTTTAAAAATAGTTTATTATTATTATTATTTCATAATTTTGTGAATTTACGCGATACGTATTAAATTCGTCGTTTGTTTATTTTATTTTATTTTATTTTTATTTTTTCCTCGTTTGTTTGTTTGTTTGTTAACAATTTACGTGTCCGACGACGACGACGGCGGTTGTGTGCGTGTTTGTTGTGTGTGTGCGTATCTAAATATGTACCCGCGTATCTCACGTTTACGTTTGACAGTAAAAGTGTTATCACTTAAATGTTATTAAAAACGCGAACGTTATCACGTTTTTTTCTTTTTTTTTTTTTAAATAAAAAATTTTATTTATTACTTAGAAATAAATATTAAATATCATAAGTTATCATCAGTAATTTAGTGTTTAATATTAATATTAATAACAATAATAATAAATCAACGAATATTTTCATTACGAATGATTGATTAGGTTTGTCAAAATTTCGAAATAAATAAATGATAAGGAAATTTATTTTAAATAAGTTTAAATTTTTACAGAAACATAAAATAAAATGATTGGTGGGAGGTGTGAGAGGGTGGGAATGGAGGAGGGGAAAAGGTGGTAAAAAAAGGGGGGAAAATATCATTATTATTATAAATATATTCGTGTTGTGCTTGCCATACGTCTTTTAATTTTTCATTTTTTCATTATTATTATTATTATTTCATTTTTTTTCTAGAATTTTCGTTAGAGGTTTTGATAAAAGTTATGATTACGTCACGAATTCATAACAGAATAATTTTTTTTTTTTCGAAAGGTTTCGAATTCGAGACAAATTACAAAAAAAAGTCATTTTTTATTAAAAAAAAACTCGACGTAATTAAAAATATATATAATTAATAATAATAATAATAATAATAATAATAATAATAATTATAATGAAAAAAAAATCGTTTTTGTAACGCGATTTTAACATTTTTTTTATTAAATTGAAAATAATAATAATAATAATAATATTGAAATTATTCAATTTTTTTTTTTTTTTTTGAAGGGTTTGAGGCGGTAGAAATTTTTTTTTTTTTTTAACAGAAATTAAATCTCGAATGCAATTGTCTTCTCTCTCTCTCTCTTTTAGTTAAATATATATGAAATAATATTAAAAAAAAAAAGAAAGAAGAAGAAAATTTTGTAGTCCAGGAGCTTAAATTTCCAGTGCTTGGATTTTGTTAGAATCCAGATTATCCTTTTGTCAAATTACATAATAAAATATCACATCCAATTTAAATTTTCTTTTTTTTTTTCTAAATTTTCATTAAAATTTTCCAAAAGTTTTTTTTTTTTTTTTTTTATTATTACTCTTATTTATTTACATAAGCGAGTAATTTATTTAAAAAAAAAAAATTAATTTTTCCAAAAATCCGACGGGAAAATGTTTTTTTTTTGGCGCGAAAATTTATTTAAAATTTTCTTATTGATTGATGGATTAAAATAATAAAAATAATTTTTCCAGATTTTTTTCTTCTTAAATTTTTTTTTTCCCGGATGGTATGGGACGGGACAAAGGGAGGGATGTGGAGGGGATGATTTTTAATTTTCCACGAATCAATAATAATAATGATAATTTAAATAATTATAAGAAACAAAACGTTATCGATAACAATAAAAATTTTTATTTATTTATTTTTTTTTTTGGGGGGGATTATTTTTTACAGATATTTCTTTTTTTTTTTTACCATTTCCGGTTTGTCAACGACGTCATTTATAATTAAGTTTATAAATATTATAAAAATGATAACGGTTTTATCATTATCGATCGATTTGAACTTTATTAACGAAAAAAATTATAAAAATAATACGATGTATCGATGATGGATGGATAAATAAACGAATCGTCATGTTTATTATAAAAAACATTTTATTATTATTATTATTTGTTGATGATGTTGTTATTAACAACGACAAAATGATTTTTATAAATAAATAAGTAATAAATAAATAAATAATAATAAAAAAAATCGTTTGATGTATGTATGACGGTACATACATAGAAATAATTATTATTATAAATAAAAATGGGGTTAATGTTTCAAACATTTTTACCAGTTATTATATTTATTTTGACGAGGGTGACTTGTTCAGCGACAGACGACACACTTAAAATTAAGGGTAAGTATTAGCATTTTTTTTTTGTTACAACCCCTTTTGTTCAGCTTTTCGGTTTTAAAAAAAGAGCAAAATTATTAATAATTTATTAAATTTTTTTTTTACCTCTCAGAAAAACAAAAAAAATTTATCATTATTATTATTATTATTATTTACTTAAATGAATAATTTGTAGTAAAAAGTTTTTTTTTTTTAAAAGAGAGAATTGAATCATCTATTGACCTTTTAACCTCCTCGGGGGGTCGTCGTTTTGTTCATACAACTTCAAGTTTTTAGTTTTCATTATTATTTATTCTTTTAAAAAAAAAAATTTTTAAGCAAAACTTTTGAGAGTTTTAAGATGGTGTGCTTTTGTTCAGAATATCGTTCTTTCATATTTAATACCTAAGAAAAACAATGGAAGAACACAAACACACGCACGCACACGCACACGCACACAACCTAAATAATTTTGAATGATTAATTTTATTAAATTTTTTTTTTTTAATAATAATAATAATAAAATAAATTTAATAACATGAAGAAATGATTTTTGTTTTTATTTAAATATTTGTTTTTATTTCTAAAAGACATTTTTTAATTATAATAAAACTCATAAACTCATATATTTTGTTTTTGTTTAAACAAATTAAAATTTAATATTTAACAACATTATTATTATTATTATTATTATTATTATTACTCTCTTTTGATGATTGTATATATACATAAGTGGGTGTGTATGTAAAAGCATTTCTTTTCAAGTTATTATTATTATTATTTTAATAAACTTTCTATTAAAAACGTAACATACATATGTATATAAACATTACATAAAAGAAAATAAAGTAAAAAAGTTAAGATAAAATCCAATAAAAAAAAATAAGAAGAAAGAAAGAAAAGAAAAAAAAAGAAAGAAAAAGAAAAAGAAAAGAAAATGACGAGCCAAT